ACCTCAGTGGTAAGCTATTGAAGCAGGAACCAGGTCTTACACTTCTTTGTATAGCCCATTCCACATGGCCTGCTGCTGGCCCGTGGCAGGACACTCAATAAATGTTAGCTTAAAGCTGAATCCATATTGTTAGTCGCCATCCAGTTGGCCCCTGACTCATCGTGTCCCCATGCACAATGGAATGAAACTCTGCCCAGTCCCATGCCATCCCCATGACTGGTTGCAGATTGGACCATTGTGATACATAGGTTGTTTAATGGCTGATTTTTCAGAAGTAGATCACCAGGTCTTTCTTCCTAGTCTGTCTTCATCTGGGAGCTCTGTTGAAACCTAGTCAGCATCATCGAACACACAAACTATGGTGGTGGCTGCACTTGAGGTGCGTTGGCCAGGACTCAAACCTGGGTCTCCTGCATGGAAAGTGGGAATCCTACCACTGAACTACTACAGCCCTTGCAAGGAGATTCCTACTAGTGTCTAAACTAAAGAAACATAAAAATTACCATTAATCATGGAAAATGCTTTCTTATAGACAAATTAATTCAGCAGAATTTGTTAACTGTCTACCTTGCATCAGAGGCTCTGCTAAACATTGAGGATGAAAAGGGATTCTGTTCCTATTTCCCAGCATCAGGGAGTTTACAGTCACACAGAGGACACAGCTAGATATAAGTAATTATAACAAAGCCTGGTAATTGGGATGGTTAAGAAGGGGCATGGGTGCACAGAGAAGGGACGTGGTCTCTCAGTCTAGGGATCAGAGAAGGCATGACAGAGGTAATGATGTTTGAGAGGGGCCAGGGAAGACAAATGGGGACATAGGCAGTTCAGTGGTAGAATTCTCACCTCTCATGTGAGAGACCCTGGTTCAATTCCCAGCCAGTGCATCTCATGCACTGGCACCACCCATCTGTCAGTGGAGGCTTGCATGTTGCTGTGATGCTGAACAGGTTTCAGTGGTGCTTCCAGACTAAATCAGACTAGGAAGAAAGGCCTGGTGATCTCCTTCCAAAAATTAGCCAACGAAAACTCTATGGATCACAAAGGTCCAATCCACAGTCAATCATGGGGCTGGCCCAGAAACGGGCAGCATTTTGTTTCATTGTGCATCGGGTCACCATGAGTGGGGGGTGACTCCTTGGAAGGTAACAACAATAAAGGAAGACAAATAGGATTCCAGATGACTGGGAAGGGGGAGAAAAACAGGCTAGGCAGCCAGAAGAGACTGTCCAAAGGCAGGGAGGTGGGAGAGTGCCGTGTGCTTTGGGAAATCAGGGTAAGGTGGCTTTGGGAGAACAGCAGGAAGTCAGGCTGGAAAGGTAAGTGGGCGCCAGGCTGAATGCCATCCTAAGGATTCTCTAGCTCTGGTTTTCAGCCTTTAGCCACAGAGTCTTACCAAAATGCAGTAAGTAAAACAGTCAACAGCCTAGCGGATCTGGTTGGGAGTAGGGAGTCTTAGAGGTTATCTGCTCAGTAACCCCTCTATCCAACTGCCCTTGCCTCCCAGCACCTTGGGTGATGAGGGAGGGGACCCTGAGGAGCCCCCAGGACATTGAGGGGCAGTTTGAAAAACACTGCTGTGGCAGTGGAGCTAGAAGTGATGGCTATTAAAAACAGAGGGGGAGGGTGCTCAGGTAGATCAGTGGTTAAGAAAAGGTTAGTAGCCGGAGGGGTTACAGAGAAGAGACTGCAGCAGTCACAGGTGAGAGAGGATGTCAGCTGGGCCTTGGGCAGTGGGTGGGAGCAGACAGGACGCAGTGGATTCAAGAGCTCATTGCAGCTCTTCACAGATGGAACTCACATTCATTAGGGGTCCAGAGAGGGATAGAAACCAAAACTAAGCCAGGTGTCTTTGAGTCGATTCCAACTCATAGCGACCCCTTGTGTGCAGAGTAGAACTGCGCTCTGTAGGGTTTTCAAGGCTGTGACCTTTAGGAAGCAGATTACCAAGCCCTTTCTTCTGAGGCAACTCTGGGTGCCTGGGTTCAAACCGCCAACCTTCTGGTTAGTAGTCAAGCACTTAACCGTTTGCACCACAGAGAATCATGGGGAAACCCAAAGGGCCTTGAGAACCAGTGTCCTAGGGACTGAAGTACTCTGTGCAGCCCAGCCCTGCTTGTGACAAGGGGAAATCCAGGCAGGAAAGGGGGGAAGCCATAGCTTGTCTTTTGAACCACCAGGCCATGACAAGAAGCATGTGGGTTGAGTGGGAGAATGGGTAGCCAACCATTGTCCTCTGATTTATAAACTAACCTTGTTGTACCGATGAGGCAGAGAAATTATAGAACTAAGCACTAATAGGAGCCCTGGTGGTGCAGTGGTTAAGAGCTCAGCTGCTAACCAAAAGGTCGGCAGTTTGAATCCCCCAGCCACTCCTTGGAAACCCTATGGGGCAGTTCTACTCTGTCCTATAGGGTCACTATGAGTCGGAATCGACTCATTGGCAAT